CTTTGCTGATTGTCTGGACATTGAGACGGGGCGGGGTCAGGTCCTGCCGCTTTGCTGATTGTCTGGACATTGAGACGGGGCGAGTTCAAGACCTGCCACTTTGTTGATTGTCTGGACATTGAGACGGGGCGGGGTCAGGACCTGCCGCTTTGCTGATTGTCTGAACATTGAGACGGGGCGGGGTCAGGACCTGCCGCTTTGCTGATTGTCTGGACACTGAGACGGGGTGGGGTCAGGACTTGCCGCTTTGCTGATTGCCTGGACATTGAGACGGGGCGGGGTTAGGACCTGCCGGTTTGCTGATTGCCTGGACATTGAGACGGGGGTAGGTCAGGACCTGCCGCTTTGCTGATTGCCTGGACATTGAGACGGGGCGGGGTCAGGACCTGCCGCTTTGTTGATTGTCTGGACATTGAGACGGGGTGGGGTTAGGACCTGCCGCTTTGCTGTTTGCCTAAGACATTGAAATGGGGCTGGAGATGAGGTCCTTCAGACTGATCCGGTCGCTTTGTTGTTTGCCTAAGACATTGAAATGAGGCTGGAGATGAGGTCCTCCTGACCGATCCGGTCGCTTTGCTAAGTCAGTCGCTTTTGCTTGTTGACAAAGGTCTGACTCTTCTCCTTGTGAGAATAGTTCGGGCTAAGCGTGTTAGTGATTGCATGGGGTTTGACTGAGAACAACTTGGAAGGTTAATGAACTAAGTAAGATACATGACTTATGCTTTTTGTGATCAAGACAAGCGAAAGACGAAAACTTTGGATGAACGAACCCTTGTTTTGAATTTGGTTGAATGCATTGTTGATCTCACATGCTTGTTGGCAATGCCTTGTCTTTTGCTCAAGATCTGTCTGTCTTCTGCATTATAGGGTAGTCTGTTAGTGCTCGCCTTATGCTTGAGCGATAGGCAGGCAGATGCTCTCCTTTGTTTTTCGCATTTGTCTTTTTATGCATGATTGATGATGATAGGACTTTGGCTAGCCTCTTAGATAGTGGAAGTTCTGGGAGCCTCTTTTCCTTAGGGGAAGTGCTGCCGAAATTTCTGCTAAACATTCTGGGTTAGTCAAGTCTCAGAGATGTCAACTAGGATAGGATATAGTTTGGTCTTTCGGAGTCAGTAGGAATTCTGGAGGCCTTCCTTTCTAAAGGAAGTGCTGCCGAAATTTCTACTGAAACCAAAGAGTTAGCTTATTTTCAGATATTTTCTGAATCTCGAGTTTTCTTTTTAGATTTGGTATAATAAATATTTTGCGAGCGCACTTCCCGAAAGGAAGTGCTGCCGAAATTCTCGGGATTTTCTTATCGTTACCGGACGCTGCTGCTAGGTAAGCTTAGAGTGCGTTACGGAGTTGAACTCCGTTAACTCGACAGGCGATGCCTGCCTTGATTATTGTGGCGCAGGTCATTGCTACCTGCGAGAGTTCTTCGAAGTCTTGAGCTTCATCAACTTCTGCTATCACCTGATAGCAGGTCGGTTCGCCACTCAACTCCTACCCACAGTGATACCCACGCCCAGATGTCTGTGACCCCGTAGGAGAAGGGTATTTCCGTGTGAATAAAGTTCCTATTCTCTGAACCTCTCTTGAATGGCCATGCAAAAGCTGTGTGAATCGGGATGGGTGGATATGCCTTTGTTGAGTGGGGGTCAGAAAGGGGCGTGTGGGACATGAGCCTGGGAGCAAAGGAGTTGACCACGTTTGTGGCATTTTGGATGTGAATTTTCATTGGGTTTCATGTGTGTACAGGTATGTATGGGAGCGAGGACTCGCTCTTGGATTTGAGAGTGATATGGATGAATGAGTGCAGGGTGTGAGTGACAAGGTTCAATTAAGGCTGTGAGAATGACTCTCCCTGATTTCCCCCGAGACTCGCCCTTTTCTTTCTCTTATTTTACTCCTATCGTATGCATCTAGCAAACAGGCAGGAGTAGCCGAGCGCAAGGTTAAGCTCTCGACCTTAGATCGGACTAAGACTTAGTTGGGGTGAGGCGAATTGCTCGCCAACCCGTGAGTACTCGTATTTTCCTTTCGCGGGGGAAGGACGAGCGTACCCCGTCTCAAAAGCGGTTTTGCTCTTTAGATTATTAGTCGGACGTTGGTCCTGAGCCTGAGATTCGAGGTCCTTGTCCAGGATATCCCAGGCTCCAGTCCAACACAAAAAGGTTTCCCCCTTGAGCCGGACCTGCGCACCTTGCTTATCGTCACCCACTGCCTAAAAGACAGGGGTGCCGCAAGGGCCGAACGACTTATCCTTCAGCCGTGCAATATCGTGAAGGAGAAACCCTTCACGACATTTCGTTTTCAAAACTTGAGTATCGTACACAACCCCGAAACCCATAAGAGACTGCGCGGATAAGGGTAACGCATGAAGCGTCGCCATGATAGCAGGTCAAGTGAACACTCATGACTGAGCGTTATGGTTCCCTTGTCGGTTGCATTTTTTTTATGCAACTCTGTGCGGGACTCGCTCAGACACATTGGCAGTTCTGAGTTATGGGTCAGAACGTATGAAAAAGGGACTAGGCTAATTTGCTTGTATGAGTTACTTTGTTTTGTCGTGTATCGCGTGGTTGATTTAGGATGTCCTAGTCGACCGACGCTGAATCGCACGTGGGAGATCAGCGCCCCAGCGTGACGGTTCGCGTACGGGTGCTAGGCGTGGACCGCGCGTACCCCCTATGCTACATCATACGAGACACGCCCTCGGTTGGGCCACCTCTGCAATTGCAAGTAAAGCTTCCGCGTGTGGTTCAGTAGCTCGGCGGGGATACGCCCACCCAAGGGATGGTGACAACTCCCGCGGGTGGAGGTAAGTTGTACCTCGCGAGATCCTGTCCGGTCGTAGGGACTCGATGAAGGTATAGCTGGCGCACTCGGCCGAGCGGCTCCGCCGCTTCCCTTTTCGTGAAGCAACTTGCGAATACTGCCAATCCTGCGTGACGCGGCCGGGAAGGT